GCTGTATTGTACAACTAACACTGTCAAAACTCGCATAGAGCCGTTTCGCGGAGTGATAAGTTACACCAGACAAGCACAAGTTAACTCTCAGTGTAAATAAAACCAAATACATGATCTTTCCCAGAGTCAAAAATATTGCTTTTGACAATCTGGTCATTTCTACTCTAAAGGTTAGAGACATCAAAAGAGTTAAGGAGAATAAATCTCTTGACGTTTGGATCGATGAGAAGGTGACTTGTAAATATTGTGGGGTTTTTTTACTGGAGAAAAAAAAAATCAAGTGCGTTGACGTTTATTGAGGCAAGATTTTTATTTATTTATTTTAAATCAGTCCTCCATCATGGCGGCATTTTCTACATGCATCAGCAGCAACCCCTAGAGACTATTTATCACTCTTCATTTAGTACTTGGTGATAATTATAATATTCATCACTGTGAGCTGTTTGCTGAGGTCGATTGCTCTCACTCTCTGTAAAGCGACAGACACTGGATGGATTTTGATTAAATATAAAGCCCTGGCTGCTCTGTAATCCCCTTATTTTACTTCCTGGATGTCTCTGAATGTGGGCCCTTAACGAACACGCTCAAATGATTTATTCACTACGCAGGTGCCGGATGTTTTTACTGAGCTTTTAATATCAAGTTTCACCCACTGTGCACCTGCAACCTGGAATAACCTGCAGAACCAACTAAAGCTTGACTCAGTTTTATCCTCAGGGCAAATTCAGGCATTTCATTTTAGCTGCAGCTGTTCTTGTTTTAGTTGAATCATTTCCCATCAGATATATATCCTCTATTTACTGCTTTTCTAACTTTGTTTTATCATGTTTTGTTCCTTATTTGTGTGCCTACATCTGTTTTTTTTTCTGTTTTTTTCCCCCGTAAGGCCTTCATACTTCAATGCAGTATGAATAAGAGTAGAATGTAAATGAATGAATGAACAAAACCTGCTGGGATCCTAACAATGTCTGCCATGCTGTCTAATTAATCGCAGGCTGTTGTTTAATCACCTCTTTGTGTAATTTTTGACAAGACAACGTGCCATGACACTCCTGTCAGGGCATGGCTTTAACCTCAATGAAGCATGTTTATGGTAAAATTAAAGTAGCAGACATTAATTTAATGTGTTAAGCTTCATTAATATGATTATTATTATCCTTTGCACATCTAAAGTTGTTCCCACCATACACTATGCCATTTTGCACATTCTCAGGAAAATAACATGCACTTTTTTGCACACTGTTAATATTTCTATTACTTTTTTTTTACATTTACAATCCCTTAGACCTGCAAAACTTGCTGTTTAAAAAAACATTTCAACATTTACTGCCATGCTGTAAATGCACCACGTCGAACTTCTTGCATGTGAAAATCCACCCAGCAACACAGCTGATTTAGATTTTCTAATCACAGTTGCCTTAATTTACTGAAATTTAGTTTAACAGCAAAAACACGTACAGAAGCAAAGGAGGAAAACGACATAAGAAACTGGTGTTAAACTGCTTATCGACCGCACAGGCCAAACGCTGCTGTAATTAGTCACCTGGAAGTTCAAGTTTGTTTGTCTTCACCACATTAGCAGCAGGCTAAGCTAAGCTAAGCTAAGCTAAGCTAATGTTTTTACGCTAAGAACAAAGCCGTGCAGCTAGAACAGGATCTGCTTCTTCATTTAAAAGTGTGTCTTCTCACCTCACGTGTTTTCTCGAAAGCTCTTCGTGACTGACAGCGCCTCCAAACAGGCATGAAGTCAGACAGCTGCAGCAGGAAGCAGCATGGAACCGAAGGACCGGGGCAGCCAGCGGCTGGTCACATGACCGCTGAGCGCCAATCATGTGACCACAGTCGCTGTCACCCGATTGGACAGAAAGAGAGCCGAAGCGTTGTCGAAAAATATCGAAAAATGTCGAACCCAGAACCCAGAAGGATTTAGAAACACGTAAGCTTTGGAGCGGCTGTCAGCTCGGAGTGTTGTGGAAGGTTCTGGCATTTTAATAACGTGGTTTTTCATTTTTATGTAAATTAATTTATAAAATACATTTTTTTAATTCTATAATATTATAATAAATGTATATAATTTTAATTGACGGGATTTTTATATTTTCTATTCTGCTATTTATATTTATTAAATGTTGAAAATGAACCAGAAGTCTATGATAGCAACAAATCAGAGGGGAAAAAATTAACAGAATTTTAAACTTCATTTTGTGGTTTTGGAAGAGAACGTTAAAAAACAACAATAGCATGCAAAACAAAGCAGAATATGTGGAGTGACAGAGGGATTTAAACATCCAGTGAAATAAGGAACGTTTACTTTAACATTTAACTGTGATTAAAAGTTGCAAACAGTGTCATGAGCTCTCCAAATTAAAAAAAACAAAAACAAAACCTATCATATACAAATACTCTATTATATATCTAGATTTGTTTTTTTGTTTTTTTACCCTACTGTCAAATATATGTCAACATGCCACAGCCTGAAGGACAGTAAATAACCTGGACACACACAAACACACAACATACATCCCATGTATACACATCATATCATATATGTTGTATTATGTGTCAAATTACTGCCATTGTGTACTGTCCAAATACTTCAAAACACTGTGAAATAATCATGTTTTTCACAGGTTTTCATTGTATTTCTTAGAACAATTGACCATTATTTT